CAAACTGCTGTTGATATAAATTCATGCTTATAATTAAAATTTTCATTTCTAAACCCTCGAAGCTCATGTGGACCAAGAAGAAATTGCAATTGTATGTTAGTGATATCAATATCTTAATAGAAGATTAAGAATTTTTTCTATATGCTTCACAAGTATTGCCATTGTCATCATTGTCATTTTTAACTCCAAATGGTACAATTTAATATATATATATATATATTTGCTAAATGATATAAGGATTCGACAATGGAATGTTCTTCTTCTAAGAAAAAATCACAATATATATGAGTCTTAACAACCACGATTTTGTCGTCTCAGGATCAAATTCTGACCGTCTTTCATATGGATATATGGAAATTTGAGGTTGAATTAATGAAGATATTTTTAAGATTAATAAAATAATAATTTTTTCAATGTTTTTATTGGTGGGTAAGCTAAACAATGACTTGTGAGCTGCAAATCTTGAGAAAAATACGTTAGCAGTTTGCTTAGTATTATTCTGTTACAGAAAATTGCAAAAATATCTTTGACCAACTTTCCAGAGGCTGTCGGCAGTAATTAATATAATGGTTTTCTAACTAGTGCAGTTTATTACTGTAATTATTAATTAATTAATTATATAAAAAAAAACGAAAAGAAAATAGAAGTTAGATAAATTCAACCTCCATGTTGTCTGCTGGTGCATCTGCATTTCCTTTTTATTAGAAAGATTTGTCAAGTTGGGGGGGGTTTAATAAATATTGTGGGGGGGTTTTTTAATAAATATTGTGCAATTTAAATTATATTGAATTGCATTATATTCATTATTAGATATGATGGATCTCTTAAGAGCTACTCCATCTAATGACGTATATTTTGAAGTTTAATAAAAAATTCTTTTTTAATCTAAATTAGCAAAATAAGATGTTAGTTTAAAGTTGAAATGTCAATAATTTCCTCAGTGAATTTCTCTACCCATATGCATAGGAGTACTCAATTGAGTCATAAAGTATTATTAACATTTCATAGGTGCACCAGCAATCTTGATTGGACTGAAAAGAATAATTTTATATTCATATTTTCATAAATAAAAGTTAGGATTAACTTACCTAAGTGGAAGATTTAGATGCTTTTCATAATGACGAAGCTATATTTAATGGTGTATTTGTCAACTTTATAACATTATCAACTCAGCCGTTGAATTTATAATATCAAAAGTTAATAATCTATAAAAAAAAATTATATAAAGTGATGTTATTGTTGTATCCTTAATTATTAACATCACATATTTTTATCTCAATTAATTATTAATTTTTTTAATTTATTTAAAATATAAAATTTTGAAAAAAATATAATATAAGAATATAATAAATAATTACATTATAAGATGTGA